TAATTCTTTTATTCTAACAGGCTCTGACAGTATAACCCCCAGCCTGGTTGTTTCTTTTGTTAGAAATCTATTTAGATGTTGCTGTTTGGCTTTGCTTGCAAAATCACTGTTAAACACAGTGCCTCAGCCCTCACATGGGATAGTGCAGTGGAAATTAAACAATGATGTTCACAGTTACTTTCTGGCAGAGAGAAAGCTGCACGTCTGCCAACGGCTCATAAAGAGAAAGTTTCCTAATTTTTTTACTGCTTATTTTGCTACATTCCAGAGCAGTAATTCTAAGGATAGACTTGCCTTCACCATGTGAAAAATAGATGGTGAACCCATGAACTCCAAACAAAAAAAGCTAACAATTTAATGATGACATTATTTGTAACATTTCAAACAACATTGAAGTTTTCCCACAAAGAAAGCATGAGAAAATAGAAGAGATAACTGGCCTGTCTCATTCTCCAGTGACCTGCTTCTTTCCTGGGAATTGCAGTCTAGTTAATTCAATGCAGTTTATACATAGCAAGGATTTTGCCCCTTCAAAGCCTAAAAATCTCTGCCATAATCTAACATTTATAAAGTCGTGTGGGAAGTGTAAAACATCTCATTTTACTTCACAGGATCATTATCAGACAGGATTTGAAACTAAGGTACAGAATAAATGGAAGTTTTGAAGAAGTGTCACTGGACTCAAAAATGTTAACTCTGTTTCACTCTCACACAGATGCTTTCAGACACACTGCGTTTTTCCAGCAATTTCCGTTTTTGTTTTGGATCTTCAGCATCTGCATTCTTTGTTTTGTAATAAAAGAATAGACAGGGTTGATATGGATAAGACATTCCTTTGGTTTTGGCATCTAGAACCAGGGGACACACAGGACAGAGCCACATAGGACTGAGAGATGGAGATATTTTTTCTCAGAAGGTTGTGAATCTTTGGAATTCTGCACCCTACAGGGCTGAGTATATTTAAAATAAAAATTAACAAATTAACAAATTTCTAAATCACCTATAATGTAAAGCATTGTAAAGATATTGAAGGCACTGAAGTGAACAATCAGTCACAATTGTATTGAATAACAGAGCAGGCTGAACAGTCTGACTGACCTACTCCTACTCCTATATCTTTATAAGGAGATACTAGGTCAAGAGTACGCTAAGAGTTACAATTTAATTAAGAGATATAGGTAGGCAGATTTAGGGATGGAATTCCAGAACTTATTGAGCTGAAAGTACAGCAATTGATGGTGGAGTAATTAAAATTGAACATACCTAAGAGGACAGGAGGAGCACGGACATCTTAAAGGATTTTCACTTGGGGTGAGACATTGTGGCGATTTGCAATCAAGAATGAGACTGTTAAAACTTAGGACATTGTTCAACCATAAGTAAGTATCAGGCAGTGAGAATAGGAATAATAGGCGAACAGGACTTAGTTTGAGGTACAAAAAAGGCAGCAAGATGCAAATTTATGTTTATTATCTGACAGTAAAATATGAGTTAAAATTTCAGGTAGGGTAAGAAATGAGAATTTTGAGGAATTATGTATTTGAGTCGTGAGTAGGGATGTCTTGCTGCAATATTCAAGGCCATGGTGAGACTACACCTGGGTGTTAAATACATTTTTGGTCTCCTTATCTGAGGAAAGATGTTCTGTCTATGAAAGGAGTGCAGCAAAGATTTGCCATATTGATTCCTGGAATGTCAGAACTCACATATGAGAAGAGGTTGAATTGTTCGGATTATATTCACTGGAATTCCGAAGAATGAGAGACAATCTCATTGAAACCCATAAAATTTTAACGGGACTAGACAGGATGTAGAAAGGACGTTCCTGTTGACCAGGGAGTCCAGAACCAGGAGTCGCAGTCTAAGGATATGGGGTACGCTATTTAGGACTGAGCTGATAAGAAATTTTTTCACTCAGAGAGTGGGAAGCCTGTAGAATTCTCTACCACAGAAAGCAGTCAATACTGAAGCATTGATAATACAGTGTGGAGCTGGAGCAACACAGCAGGCCAAGCAGCATCAGACGAGCAGGAAAGGTGATGTTTCAGGTCATTGTATGATTTCAAGAAGGAGTTGGATATAATGCTTGGGGCTTAAAGGAGCCAAAGGACATGTGGGAAATGTGAAAAGGAGATACTGAGTTGGTTGATCAGCATGATCATATTCAATGGTGGAGCAGGCTCGAAGAGCCAAGTGGTCTATTCCTGCTCCTATTTTCTGTGTTTCTATGAATGGTCTTGCTCAAAATATTAAAATATCCTTCTGTTTCAGATACCGGCCATCCTGAGATGCATTTCTATTTCTAATCTCTAGTATTCATGTTATAAAAAAGTGCTTATGCTGTCATTAACATTGTCTTACAATACAGTCCCAACAACTCATTCCAATAATGGCCTTACAATACAGTCCCAACAACTCATTCCAATAATGGCCTTTCTGCTCCTATGATGCTGCTTGGCCTGCTGTGTTCATCCAGCCCTGCACCTTGTTGTCTCGGATTCTCCAGCATCTGCAGTTCCTACTATCTCCAATAATGGTCTACATGTCTTTGTCGACAGCTACCCAGAAAGTCTGAATTCCCTGTTGTTTTCAAAGGATCGTAAGGTAAAGAAAATATGATGCAAGTGGACAATGGATTAAATAGAATTGCATCCAATTTACAACAAATAAACAGACCATTTGACCCAATTGATATATGCCAGCATTTATGTTCTACACAAGCCACATCTTATTAAATTTTTATTCCTTTCTCACTGATGTACCTATTTAGTTTTCTCTTGAATGTATGTGCTCAATATGATAATTGCACAATAACTGAATATTTCCAGACTTGATTATTCCAATGATTCCCACCTAGCATCCCACCTTACACATTTCTTAAACTTTAGGTTCCTGAAATTTCTGCTGTTGCAATCCTATTACACACCAAGTCTGGTCACACATCATCCCTGTGCTTTGGTTCAGAGTCCAGTTTCTGGTTCAATAGCACTTTGATTTTAAAATGCTCATCCTTGTATCCTTATGCCTCCATGATCTTGCCCCCTTCCTATCTCAATAACCACTACTGCCATATTATGCTCTTGAATACCTGCACTCCAAATAATTCTGATTTGTTATCCATCTCTAACTTTAATCACTCCATAGTTGTCCTTGCCAGTGGTGCTCATGTCTGAAGAAGGAATAAAAATGCCCAGAAATTGTTGGATTTAGCACTAGGTTTTAACGTATGAGGGAAACAAAGATGATTTTGATATTGTTTTCCGGATCATTCTATATATATCCAAAAGGATTTTGTATCATGAGGTATCCATTGCTGTTGAACCAACAAATTAAGTGACAGATGATTACATATTGGCTTTCCAGGTACTTGGCGTTGCAAATGTCAGCATGTCCATTGCAAGGACATCATCCTCCAAGTTATCATCATTTATTTTTGGCAGAATTGTTAAAATGGACATTGAGATAACCATTTCTTGATCATTTTACAGCCTGTAATTGCCATGGGCATGCCATAGATTGTTATTATGATGCTGAAGTCAGCCGGCGCAGAGCAAGCATGAACAGCTTTGGGCACTACGAAGGTGGAGGTGTTTGCTTGAACTGCCAGGTAAGAGACAAGCTGTTCAAGACAGGACAAATAGTTCCATTAAAAGACAGCCAAAAACGTTGTGTTTGAGAAGCATATGCTGTGTCTTGCTGTCCTATCACAGATGTTTCCAGTATTTGTTAAAACTGATTTTCTTAGTTTGCCTTAATGTTAGAATAAAATATTACAAGTTTAGTTAACTTCCTTATTAATTTGATTTTCTGAGAAAAAGACCACAAATTTTTTAAAAAAGGCTTGCTTTCGCAACAGAAATGTGTCAAATGTTTTAACAGCAATGCCTCTTTAACTTGAGCAGTCAAACACAAGGCCTTTTTAATGACTGTTAATTGACACAGCAATTTCTGTGGTGGAGTCACTGTCATTGTGACATGGTGGTTGAATTTAGCTGTCTATTGTCCATCTTGTGCAGTAGCACTAAATTGATAACATCTTTAATCAGTTTTTAACAAGCATCAACAGTGATGTTAACAGAAAAGTAGCACTGCAGTTTCATTTGGTGGCAATGAGCTCATGAAGAAAAGATTTCTTTTTGTTAAATTTTGCAAATCATAAGCTTTAGTTGCCCAGTTGAAAAGTCAACATTACAGACTGAGTCTGATTTCATAAAATAAACCTCAATTGTTCACATGATAATTTATCACCTCAGGCTAAGAAACATCAGTGGTGGCCGAAGATTTAATGAATCATGTGTGTCTAAATTTCTCCATAGCACCACACAGCAGGAATAAATTGTGAACGATGTGCTCCATTTTACTATCGACCATCTGGAATTCCAAAGGAGGCAGTGGATGGCTGTTTATGTATGTTTTTCTCGTGTTACTTTTTTTTCCCACTGGTGAAATGATTATTGTAAAAGCCTTCATGGAATCATTTTAAACTGTTATTTGAAAAGGAAGAATATTGATGGTCACAAACAGGAGACAGAAGGCACCACAGAAAACTAAGTGAAACGCTCATTCAGAGAATTAGCTAAATTGCTAAATTGCCCGTAGTGTGCAGGGATGTGTAGATTAGATGGGTTATAGGGGTATGGGTCTGGGTGGGATGCTCCAAGGGTCACTGTGGACTTGTTGGGCCGAAGGGCCTGTTTCCACATTGTAGGGATTCTATTCTATGAAGCAGAACTAGTGCAGACATGATGGAGCAATAGACTTTTTCTTGTGTTGTAACAATTCTGTGATTCTGAGGGTAACTTTAACCTATCTTGCAGAGCAGGAATCCATAAGACCATGAGAAATACAAACAGGAGTAGGCCATTCCTCGAGCCTGCTCCACCATTCAGTACAATCATGGTTGATCCAACATTCTTCACATTCACTTTCCTATGGTTTCCTCGTAACCTTTGATTCCTTGACTGATCAATAATCTATCCATCTCAGCCTTAAATATACACAAGCACTCTGCCCCCACAGCTCTCGATAGAGTTGGGTGGAATACCAGTTTTTCAGCCCAATTGATTCGCTGACCCTCAATTTGTATCACCAGTAAAATCAGTTAGGGCATGAAATCAGAATTTCCTCTGATGAAGGGTTAAAATTGTTCCTTTGGTATTTATGAATAACATTTTAGAATGCAAAACTTTTTTTTGCTTTCTTTTTCTAATTGGTCAAAGGACTGCAGTGAAAACAAAATCCCAGTCTGGAAGATTTTAAATTTATATTACCTCTTTATTTTACCCTCTTCTTTCTAGCTACCTAATCCAATGAAAGAAAGAAAGAAAGTCTTGCATCTTATAGCCATATTCCCAACTTCAAGATGTCATAGGAACATAAAAGTAGGAGCAGGTCATTCAGCCAGTTGACCCTGCTCCACTATTCAATTGGACCAAGGTCATTTACCTCAGTGCCACTTTTCTGCATTATCTTCATATCCCTTGATATTATTAGTCTCTACAGTCATAGAGTCATACAGCACAGAAGCAGAATCTTCAGTTCAACTAGTCCATACTGACCATAATCGCAAATAAATGTAGTCCCACCTGCCTGTATTTGGCCCATATCACTCCAAATATTTCATATTCATGTACATACCTAAATGTCTTTTAACCTTTGTAACTGGACCCGCATCCACCACTTCCTCTGGAAGTTCATTCCATGCACGAACCTGTGTAAAAAAAATCCCCCCCATGTCTTTTTTAAAATCTTTATCTTCTCACCTTTAAAATATGCCCCTACTCTTAAAATCCCCCACCTTAGGGGAAAAAAAAGCACCTGCCATTTACTTTATCTATACCCCTCATTATTTTATAAAACTCTATAAGGTCACTTCTCAATTTCCTACGCTCCAGTGAGAAAAGGCCAAGCCTCTCTTTATAACTCAAACCTATATCCGGCAACATCCTGTAAATCTCTTCTGAACCTTCTCCAGCTTAATAACATCCTTCCTGTAACAGGGAGACCAGAACTGAACACAGTACTCTGGAGGAGGCTTCTAGAAAACTATTGATTTTTGCCTGGAATGTGCTCAATGTTTGAGCTTCCACAGCCCTCTTAGGGTAAAGAATTTAAAAGATTCACCACCCTCTGTGTGAAGAAACTATTCCTGAAAACAGACAGTATGCATGAATGGGACTTTGATTGATGAGACAAGTGGACTCTCACAGGGTCTGTGCTGGACCCTCAACCTTTGTAGAGTAATAGAGTTTTTACAGCATGATAGCTTCAGCCCATATCAATGTCTGACATAAAAACTGAAAGAACTGCAGATGCTGTAAATCAGGAACAAAAACAGAAGTTGCTGGAAAAGCTCAGCAGATCTGGCAGCATCTGTGAAGAAAATATCAGAGTTAATATTTCGGGTCCGGTTCTGAGGAAGGGTCACCTTCTGCTGACAGGAATGACGACATGGTGGCTAAATTTGCAGAGTGCACAAAGATAGGTAAGAAACTATGCTATGAGGATAACTTAACAACGATGCAGATTAATATGGATAGACTAAGTGAATAGGCAAAAATCTGGCAGATGGAGTATAATGTGGAAAAAGTAAACTTGCTCATTTTGGCAGGAACAATAAAAAAAACTATTATTTAAATGGAAAATTAAAAACTTCACGGTGCAGAGCATTCTACGTGTTCTAATGCATGAGCCATTGAGGATTAGTATGCAGGTATGGCAAGGGATCACAGAAGACTTCTCGAGTACCTTGTGTTTTTCTTAGTGTCCAGCTACTATCCCCTCAATGATTGATTCTAGCACCTTCTCCATCACAGATGTCAAGCTAAATGGCTCATAATTTTCTGTTTTCTGCCCCCACCCATGTTGCATCTTTTTCTAAAAGGAGTTAAACACTGAGATGAGGAGAATTAAGGTGCAGATCAGCACTCCCCCGTTATTACAATGGGTGGCACTCTGCCATTGGCACCCATGCTTTCGATTGCCTGTGTCCTAAACTCTTAGAATCCAATCCATCCTTAAACCTCTCAACCTCTGAACCTCTCTGGCTTCCTTTAAGGCCTAATGCCTATGTCTTCAACCAGCTTGGCATAACCATCCAATGGACCAGTTAAATTTTGGCAAATCCTCATTTGGGAAAATACAAGTGAAATGACATTTCAATCCCATGAAATATCACCATGCAACACCAGCACACTATCTATAATTAGTGTCCTGAGCTAAATAATCTGGTTGCCTGTTTGTGGCAATTAGAATAATGGCTGGAAACGAGTGATAAGGTTGTAATTAAACTCGGTAATTCCAATGACTGCAAAGATTAAAGCTCAGTTAGTCAATGAACGTCATTCTAACCTCAGGATTGAATTCTTCAAGATCAGTGTGGAAGACAAATATTCTAGAGTCATAGAGGTCTACAGAAAAACGCCCTTTGGCCCATCGTGTCTGTACTGGTCAAAAACAAGCACCTAACTTTTCAAATCTCTTTTTCCAGCACTGGGTCCATAGTGTTGGCAAACAATATTCTGTTGTGTGGAACATTAGAGAAATTGTTATGATCTGGACTAAACTGCTAGGAAATGTATTCAACAGTAACTTTCAAACAAAATTGGAAAAAAAAGGGTCAATGTTCTGGAGGATTCACAAAAACAGCCTTTCGTCAGATTTGTTAACTCTGTTGTTTCTGTTTCTCACTCCACTGACCCTGCCTGATCTACTGAGAATTCCCAGCATATTCTGAGAGATTTGAACACAATGAGAGTTGTAAATTTGATTTGGGAAAAAAGCCTGAAAAGGAATTCTATTTTTTTCAGCCTGCAGGTGTAACCCTGAATTTGCAGATGGATGTGATGGAACAACAGGTCTGTGTCACTGCAAACCTCAGTACACTGGTGAACACTGTGACAGATGTTCCCTTGGATACTACAACTTCCCTCAGTGCGGTTGTACGTAGAACTTTCTCATCTTGTGTTTTTAATTATTCACTTTATTTACAGATTTAAGTGCTCTTATGTTCAGTTCCAAGCAAGTAGCAATGTAAGCAAAATAATAATATAAGCAAAATAAAATTTTTATTCCAGTTGGAGAGTTTTAGATCTGTAATCCAGACATCATGGTTAAACACTGATTTAAGTACATTGTGCCCCATATATAATGGACTCTGAATTTTGGACAGGTCACAATCCTTGTAGTGCTGTGACAGCCTCATTTGGATGGGGCCAGCGGGCCATTACTGTGAGCCCAGCAAGTGCAAACTTAATACATATTTTCAGCATTTCATGTTTCGGATTGGTCCAGAATTACTTACAATCCACAGCAAAAACATAGACCATTCAGCCGAAGTGGGCTTGATCCACAGGAGCTTCCTTCCACCTAATTCATTCCAGCCTATCCTTCCAATCCATTCGCCCCTATGTCTTCATCAATCTCTGCCTTAAATGCCCCACTAATCCCTGTAGTAAGAGTTCTGTATTCTCACTACTTTTCTAAGTAAATAAGTTTCTCCTGAATTTCCTTTTGAATTTATTGATGAATATCTTAATTTCTGACCATTAGTTTTGGACTGTTCCTGTTGAGCCCTTTAGTAATTCTAAAGGTCTCTGAATAGATCACCCATTAACTTTCTATTTTCTAGAAAGAAGAGTGGCTGTCAGTCCAGTCTTTCCCATGAGTTTTTACCCTCTTCATTCTGGCATCATCCTTTTGAATTTTTCTATGCATTTTCCCAGCATTTGTCTCCCTTTTGTAATAACGGAAGCCAGAAATGTTCACAATGTTTCATGTGTGGTCTAACCAAAGTTCAATATCATAACAACAGAATTTCTCAACTTATGAATTCTTTCCTCTGAAAGAGAATAAGTCTACTTTTAAAATATTGCAATCAGCCTGAACATGTTCTGTAAGTTAGTACTGTATTTTCTGTGGAATTATCAAACCACACAAGTCATTTCAATCCCCGAGTCTGTTAAATTTTTGAAAAATGTTTGCCTGCAATTGAAAGAAAATTTGTGTTTGGTATTTCACTGTTTATTGACCTAACGATTTGTGCTGCTTGACTGATTCCATTACCAATGATTATCCCAGAAAGGGGATGCTGGGACTGTAAATTCATGGATTGAATGACAGCTTCAAATGATTATGAAGGGATTTGCTACCTTTGATGTGGGGCTATGAATACAAGTACATGTTCTAATAAAAGCTTAAGCAGATTAGAACATGAGTGGAAGTAGGCTTCTCAGCTTGCTCCATCATTCAATTAGATCATAGCAGGTTATCTGCCACAACCATACGTTCCCTTGCTATTCTCATACCCTTTGGTGCCATTAGTCTCTAGAAATCTATCGATTTCTGTCTTGAACATTCCCAATGATTGAGCTTTCATAGCCTTCTGACACTTCCAAAGATTCAACACCCTTGGAATTAAAAAATACTTCCTCAACACAGTTTTAAATGGCCTAGCCTTTATCCTGAGACTGTTGGCAGAATCTTATTAGGGCCTGAAGGATGTGGGCTATGGCAAGAAATGTGGGAGAATCACATGAGGAGTCCCATGTGGCCCATCTTGATGTAGGGAACAACTCACTGAAACTTTTAACTTCTTTTAGGGAATTCATGCTTGACAGATCTGCCAGATTTTTTTCATAGAATCCCTACAATGTGGAAGCAGGCCATTAAGCCCACTGCATCTGCACCGACCTTCTGAAGCGCATCGCACCCAGACTCACTCTCCTACCCAATCCGCATAACCCTGCATTTCCAATGGCTAATTCACCTAGGCTGCACATCCCTGGATGTTATGGGCAATTTAGCATGACCAATCCACCTAACCTGCACATTTTTGGACTGTGGGATGAAACCAGAACACCTGGAGGAAACCCACACAAGCACAGGGAGAATGTGCAAACTCCACACAGACAGTTGCATGAGCCTGGAATCAAACCCAAGTCACTGGCACTGTGAAGCAACAGAGCTAACCACTGAGCCCACTGTGCTGCCCATTTTTTGAGTACGTAACTGTAGAGTTGAAAATGGGGAGTCAGTATATGTGGCTTACTTGGACTTTCAGAAGGCTTTTGACAATGTCCCATGTAAGAGGGTAGCGTGCAAAATTAAAGCTTATCGTATAGTGTACTGAAATGTGTAGAGAACTGGTTGGAAGACAGGAAACAAACAGTGGGAATAAACAGAGATAATAGGAACTGCAGATGCTGGAGAATCTGAGATGACAAGGTGTAGAGCTGGATGAACACAGCAGGCCAAGCAGCATCAGAGGAGTAGGAAGGCTGATGTTTCGGGCCTAGGCCCTTCTTCAGAAATGGGGGAGGGGAAGGGGTTTCTGAAATAAATAGGGAGAGAGGGGGAGGTGGATAGAGGATGGATAAAGGAGAAGATGGGTGGAGAGGAGACAGACCGGTCAAAGAGGCGGGGATGGAGCCAGTAAAGATGAGTGTAGGTGGGGAGGTGGGGAGGAGATAGGTCAGTCCAGGGAGGACGGACAGGTCAAGGGGGCGGGATGAGGTTAGTAGGTAGGAGATGGGAGTGGGGCTTGAGGTGGGAGGAGGGGATAGGTGGGAGGAAGGACAGGTTAGGGAGGCAGGGACGAGCTGGGTTGGTTTTGGGATGCAGTCGCGGGAGGGGAAATTTTGAAGCTTGTGAAGTCCACATTGATACCATTGGGCTGCAGGGTTCCCAAGCGGAATATGAGTTGCTGTTCCTGCAACCTTCGGGTAGCATCGTTGTGGCACTGCAGGAGGCCCAGGATGGACATGTCGTCCGCGGAATGGGAGGGGGAGTTGAAATGGTTCGCGACTGCGAGGTGCAGTTGTTTAGTGCGAACCGAGCGTAGGTGTTCTGCAAAGCAGTCCCCAAGCCTCCGCTTGTTTTCCCCGATGTAGAGGAGGCCACAACGGGAACAGCAGATGCAGTATACCACATTAGCAGATGTGCAGGTGAACATCTGCTTGATGTGGAAAGTCTTCTTGGGGCCTGGGATGGGGGTGAGGGAGGAGGCGTGGGGGCAGATGTAGCACTTCCTGCGGTTGCAGGGAAAAGTGCGGGGTGAGGTGGGGCTGGAGGGCAGTGTGGAGCGGACGAGGGAGTCATGGAGAGATTGGTCCCTCCGGAAAGCAGATAAGGATGGGGAGGGAAAAATGTCTAATGTGATGGGGTCGGATTGCAGATGGCGGAAGTGTCGGAGGATGATGCGTTGGATCCGGAGGTTGGTGGGGTGGTACGTGAGGATGAGAGGGATTCTGTTTTGGTTGTTATTGCGGGGATGGGGTGTGAGGGATGAGTTGCGGGAAGTGCGGGAGACACAGTCGAGGGCGTTCTCGACCAATGAGGGGGGGATGTTGCGGTCCTTGAAAAACGAGGACATCTGAGATGTACGGGAGTGGAATGCCTCATCCTGGGAGCAGATGCGGTGGAGGCAAAGGAATTGGGAATAGGGGATGGCATTTTTGCAGGAAGGTGGGTGGGAGGAGGTGTATTCTAGGTAGCTGTGGGAGTCGGTGGGCTTGAAATGGTATTGGTTTCTAGGTGGTTGCCGGAGATGCAGACAGAGAGGTCCAGGAAGGAGAGAGAGGTATTAGAGATGGTCCAGGTGAACTTAAGGTTGGGGTAGAAGGTGTTGGTGAAGTGGATGAACTGTTCGAGCTCCTCGTGGGAGCACGAGGCGGCGCCAATACCGTCATCGATGTAACGGAGGAAGAGGTGGGGTTTAGGGCCAGTGTAGGCACGGAAGACGGATTGTTCCACGTAACCTACAAAGAGGCAGGCATAGCTTGTAAACAGATTATTTTCTGAGTAACAGCCTGGACATCACAGGAATCAGTGCTTGGATTTCAGCTTCTCACAATATATATCAATGATTTAGATAAGAGAATTTAAATGTAATATCTCCAGGTGACACAAAGCTGGGTGGGAGGGTGAATTGTGAGGAGGATGCAGAGTTGATTCAGAGTGATCTTAGAGTGAGTAGGAAAACTCACGGCAGCAGAAGTGTAATGTGGATAAATGTAACATTATCCACTTTTGGTAGCAAAAACAGGAAGGTGAATTATTATCTGAATGGTGAAAGATTGGGAAAGAGGCAGTTGCAATGAGATCTGGGTGCCCTTGTAAACCAGTCACTGAAAGTAAGCATGCAGGTGCAGCAGGCGGTGAAGAAGGCAAATGGTATGTTGGGCTTCATAGCAAGGGATTTCGAGTACAGAAGAAGGGCATGTTGCAGTTGTACAGGGCCTTGGTGAAACCACACCTGGAGCATTGTCTGCTGTTTTGATCTTCTTTTCTGAGGAAGGATGTTCTGACAATGGAGGTAGTGTAATGAAGGTTTGCCAGACTGAAACCTGAAATTGCAGACTGACGTATGAAGAGAGAATGGATCAGTGAGGACTATATTCTCTGGAGTTTAGAAGAATGCAGGGTTGGGATGGAATCTCCTAGGTACATATAAAATCAAACTGGACTACACAGGATAAACACAGAAAGGATATTCCCAATATCTGGGGAGTCAGAACCAGGGGTCATAGTTTAAGAGTACAGGTAGACCATTTGGTGCTGAGAAAAAAAGATATTTCTCCACCTGGAGAATGGTGAGCCTTTGGAATTCTCTGTCACAGAAAATGATTGAAGCCAAAACATTGAATATTTTCAAGGAGTTAGATATAGTTTTTATTGCTAAAGGGCTCAAAGGGCATGGAGCAAAATTGAGGAAAGGGGACACAAACTGGATAATCAGCTATGATCGTATTGCATATGAATATGAACAGCACAGTGGCTCAGTGGTTAACACTGCTGCTTCATAACACCATGAACCTGGGTTTGATTCCAGCTGTGGGCAACTTTCTGTGTGGAGTTTGCATGTCCTCCCTGTGTCTGTGTGGGTTTCTATCAGTTCTTTGATTTCCTCCTACAGTCCAAACGTGCGCAGGTTAGGATGTGCTTCGGAGGGTCAGTGTAGACTTGGTGGGTCAAATGGCCTCTATCAACTGTGTAGGGATTCTATAATTCTATTAGTGGGTGGAGGAGACTTGAAAGGCCAGCCAATACTCCAACGTATATCAGCGCATTCAGACAGAGGAGGAATAAGGGACCAAACTTGGAAAGAAAAGTTTATTCCTTCCTTGGAATTATATCTTTTAATATATCTAGGAGAGAATTCATTTGCATGTGATTAGATTTGACATTTTTAACTAAGAGTGTCTTTTCTTCTAGATGTACCAGTTTATTCCACATCCAGGCCAGTAACAGTAGACCCATCAGCTGGAGATTTCCAAAGTAAGCATTTACAATTAACATTGAGCATAGAGCTGAAGGTTAATTGAGGTTTTGATTTGTATCAATACACAGCAGGCTGATTAATATGGAAGTAGCTGGAAATATTTTGCGTTAGGGATGCTGGGAGTCACACCAGAATATAAGTCAGTAATTCAGAACGTAAATGATGAAAATATTTTTTATTAATTTCTGCTAACTCCTTTTCACTATAAATTATATTGCAGTAAAGATATAATGGGCTGAACTGTCATGTTAGTTGGAAAACAGGAGTCACGGTTGTTTTCAGTTCCAAGCCTGTCCTCAGAGCAACAAGACACTTTGAAATTTTTTACTAGCACAGTCCTGCCCCACCTTACCTCGAATGGAGACAGGTTCTCCGTTCAATGACAGAAGATGTGTGAGCTTTTGAAGGGATTGAGGGATGGAAACCCAATCTAATGCTGGGTGCCTACATTTAGGCATTTAGGCTACCCCGTTAGCCTCCTTCATCACTGGTTAATGAGGCTCTTAATGATCTTGCCTGCCTTGTGGGGGCAATTTACCTGATCTCAAATCTGTGTTGGCAAAAAGATAAGGAAGTCAATACATGGTCGGCCTTGTAATTATTGGACCCCATTCACCTCTGTTCATGATAAGTGACAAAGCTTTAAAATTCAACCCAATTCATTTAATTGAATCAATTGGTCATTCATTAAAACCGAAATTATCCACAAAAATAATTTGTGTGTATTTTTTATAAACTTAAGATTGCATTGAAAATCTGAACTAAAATGAAATGGTATTTATGCCCAGTCAAAAGGCTAACAATAAATAATTGAAGAAAAGCATTTTAACGCCAAGTACTGCAAAAACATTGCCATGTTCATAATAAGAAAATACAGCTATTTTTTGCACCAGGTTTATTCAAATAGCTAGTTAAAAATTCGGCTGAAAACTATTTTGTGACATAACAGATAGTAAAAACAATTTTCGACAAGTTCTTCTTGTGAAATTTAAACATTATCAAACATTTTTTCTGATGTTTCAGTGGCATTTCTGCTTCCAATTCCTGGACTGTGCAAAGTAACTTATATTAAAACCATGCCATGAGGTATTGGTGTAGAATTTCACCCTTCCACTGATGTGAGTTCCTGCTCTCTACTGTCTTGCTGTGCCCACACCTGAGATAGGGAAGGCGTTCCCAATGGGGAAATCGTTATGATACTGCATTCATGTGGCAACCTAACAGACATTGGGGAAGGTCTCGAGCAAGTCATCTGCTCACAAATTCAGCCACAGGAAAAACAAAAAAGGAGTGTTAATATCAAAGTGAAAATGAGCTTTGGTGAAAAAAGACTCATATTGTCAAAGCTTTCCATCTTGCACTCATTAGGACATTTTGCAAGATTACCAATTCAAGAGGAAAAGCAACATTTGTACTGCATGCAAGGCGAGTGCTGATTGGACAGCAAGTGGACTCTGATTAGTAGAGGCATTGCCGAGGAGAATTAACCCATTAATACTAATTGACACTTAAAATCCTGGCTTTGTTTAACTTTTAAACTAGGCAGGTTTACTCTGCTTGATCGAGGCATGGCCCTGAGAAATGAACAAGCAAATGATTGTTACCTATTTTGTTGAGTTGAAGAGAAGACTAAATCTTGCAGGGTAGCCAAAATTAAAAGCCCTTTTCTTTTGATATACAGAATCACAGAAGTCTTACAGCATTGAAGGAGACCATTTGGTACATTGTGTCTGCGCTGGCTTGTTAAATGAGCATCATTACTTAATGAGATAACAAGGTGTAGAGGTGGATGAACACAGCAGGCCAAGCAGCATCAGAGGAGCAGGAAAGCTGATGTTTCGGGTCTACACCCTTCTAGGGAGGGGAAGGGGATTCTGAAATAATAGGGAGAGAGGGGGAGGCAGATAGAAGATGGATAAAGGAGAAGATAGGTGAAGACGAGACAGACAGGTCAAAGGGGTGGGGGGTGGAGCCAGTAAAGGTGAGTGTAGGTGTGGAGTTAAGGGGGGATAGGTCCTAACTCCCCACCTACACTCACCTTTACTGGCTCCATGCCCGCCTCTTTGACCTGTCCACCTATCTTCTCCTTTATCCATCTTCTATCCGCCTCCCCCTCTCTCCCTATTTATTTCAGAATCCCCTTCCCCTCCCCCATTTCTGAAGAAGGGTCTAGACCCGAAACATCAGCCTTCCTGCTCCTCTGATGCTGCTTGGCCTCCTGCGTTCATCCAGCTCTACACCTTGTTATCTCAGATTCTCCAGCATCTGCAGTTCCTACTATCTCTGAATCATTACTTAGTGTTAATTTCCTGTCTTTTCTTTCTTCAATACCCCTACACATTATTTTTATCTATATAATCATCCAATGCCCTCCTGAATGACTCAACTCAACCTGCCTCCTCCTTGCATTCAGGCAGTACATTCCCGATCCTAACTACTCACTGAGCGAAAAAGGTTTCCCTCTCATCACCTTTGCTTTTTTTTTCTGATTACTTTAAATCTATGCCCTCTTGTTCTTGTGCCTTTTATGAGTGGAAACAATTTGCGCTATCTACTCTATCCAGCCCACTCATAATTTTGTAAGCCTCTATCAGATTTCCTCTTAACCTTCTTCTCTCCAAGACCCAATCTCTTTAATCTATTCTTGCTGGAGATTAGAAACATATGAAAACCCAACTACTGAACAATTTGACATCAGGTACTGGGCTAGACTGACTGAACTTGAAAGCCCAACTTCAGCTAATATCTTCCTCACTATTGAGAGAACATTGTGGCAAAGTACTGTTAAAGACTGTAGGAGAGATGAATGTAGTAAACAGCATTGGGAATGGAAATGTCAATGTATACTGGCTTGTTTTGGTATTGAATTATTGATTTTTCAGTCATCTGCTTTTGTTCTTTACAGATTGTAAATGTAATGTGCAGGGCACAGTGGCAAATATCTGTCATGTAGATCCTCATACTCAACGTTGTGATTGCAAACCACATTACACTGGTCCATACTGTACTCACTGTGCCATAGGATATTTTGGGAATTATTGTCAACGTAAGTATGTACGGAATCACAAACTATTCAGTTGTAAGTAGTTATTTCAGCTATTTAGATTGCTTAAAGCAGATTGACAGAAACTATTAGTATAGATCTGGAGGGAACAGTCCAGAATAAAGGTTAAAATTAGAGAAAGTCCTTTCAGCAGTGAAGACAGGGAGAACATTTTCATAGAACGGTAAGTGGAAACATCTTCCTCCACAAAGTTTTTGAAGCTGGAGATCAATTAACAATGGGATTTGGAAGTTCAGAACTTGAGTATTGCTGATAAAAGGCATATTTTGTCAAGATTTTTCATTTTACACTCATCAGAACAATAAAAATACTAATTCAAGGGAAAAACCACATTTACACTACGTGAGGAAAGAGTGCTGATTGGTTGGCAAGTGGACTTTTGACTGGTAGCGATTTTGCCATGGAGAATGCACAAATTAATGATGACTGATGGTGACTCTGATTGGTCAGGTCATTTCCCTGAGAATTGACCAGTGTTGAAATGGGCCACTAATTCCTGTCTCTTCCATATTTGGAAGCATATTCTCTTTGCCCACCTTGTTCTTTTGTAGTCTTAAACATCCCTCAGCCTTCTGTTTTCCAGAGAATTCCAAAAGGATTGAAAACTATAGCCTCACATATTTAGATATCATCTCCATAAATCATTTCCTGCAGTTTCTCCACTGCTTCTATACTCTTTTAGTAACAGGGAGATTAGAATTCTGTACAATTGTGGTGTAACCAGAGGTTCATGTTGAAATAGATGCATTGTGTCTGCAAAGAATAGGGCCTATGTGTTAATATATGTAGCTTCCAGTACACGCAAATGCTGCAAGCCCGATTGATAATCCTAAATTGATTGTCAGCATTATTCTTCACTTACTCAATATTATTTAGCAAATGTTATCCAATTGCAGAATCATTTCTAATGTTAGACAATGTGCTGTGAGTTTTCCAAATGTAAAACTGGTCTGGGTGCATACAGTCAGTTAGGGTAAGAAATAAACTTTTTGAGCATGTTTCCATGCCATAGTTTCCTGCAGTTCTGCACTTCCTGCTTGTTACATCAATATCATTATATCAATTTTCACTCGTGAAATCCAGTCACATTACCTAAACCAGTGCAGAAGACGGGGGGGGCTTTTAAATTTAAGTGAGTTACACCCAAAACTACTCGATACAAATCTTTTCTGTGATCTTTTAAGCTAGTTTCGGATTCACTTTCCTTGACTATAAACCACCCACAAACTTGATGCCAACCCCCAGATCTGAATTACAAAATTTTTTCAATTGTGTTGATTGGAAAATGCTCACTTAAAACTGAGCTCAGTTTCCTCCATGCATATATGGTAGTCGGCACATTAATAAATGATTTCTTTCTCATCAAATAATATTTAATTTATTGAGAAACAGATTAATGTACACAATAATGACAGTAGTAAACAGCTCAACATAGCTACCTAAAATCATTTTCAGTGCTTCAGGAACTTCACTATGAAGGACTAAGCATTATTAAAACTGTTTACTTTTGGTAACTAGAATATTTTCAGCAGATACTCCACCCCATAATGTATAAATCTACTCACAGCCCGTGTACTCAATCCAGAGCTATGATAGATGACACTATAACAGACCTCTTGCTGATGGTTATCATGCCTTCAATGAATGAAGACTGATTCTCTTTGTGTGCTGCGTTTTAATACTGTACAATATTTGTTCAGAATGTCAGTGTTACAGTGCTGGAGTGACAAATCAAGTGTGTGATCCAAACACAGGACAGTGTTTGTGTCGAGATGGATTTCAAGGGTATTTCTGTGAAAGTTGCTCAACAGGATATTTTCGGTTCCCCTACTGTGAGCGTAAGTAAAAATTATCGCTATTGTTAGACAACAGTTTTTCGTTACAGCTAAACAATAATATTTTCATTTCAGTCACATAACCTATGGGTCAGATGAGATGTACTTTTTTGTACTCCTCTCCAAGAGGACTTAAACTCTGAATAGAGAAATACGTCAAAACCGTTAAAAGATAGAGATTGTTATGACACAGAGACAAACAGCTGAACCAAATTAGCCTTTTTACCTCTGTATTTGCAACACTGTAAAATTAAAACCTTCAAATACCCTCAAAATTAACTCCAATGGTTCCTAACCAGGCTTTTTGAGTAACCAGTCCCAGACTCTGCGAATAATAAATTTTAGACACTGGTTTTGTAGCTTAAACAAAAGACTTAACAACTTACTAACAATACTGTAACTTTAGCAGAACAAAATTAAACAGCAAATTAATCTAATTAATGTCTACGATTTTATTCAGCCCCAATTACATAAAAGACAGACAGGCAAACAAGCATGGTTAAGGGATCAATAAAAGAGAAAATATAACTGGCTAGATTACTAAAGCGGTTTTCACAACGCATTATTCCACAGGTATAGATGATTGTTTCTTGGTTTTCTGAAGATGTCAATAAAGGCCACCTTTTCAGTTCACCAGAAGAAGTCAGTAATGTTTATAACTTAGCTCCTCTGAACTTCCAGTAGCTGATAATGGGAAGTTACGCAGGGAGCTTTCAAATCTTCATGCTGTAATATTAACAGCCAAACTCCTTCTCCCAGAAAACTCATTCCAAAACCTAGGTCAAACTCTGACCACACCTGATAGACTGTCACCCCACCAGGTCGCAGTTACCATTCAACATCTGCCATCTGCTTGAGCATAAGGTCTTCCCAGATTTGCTGGAACCAGTTCTCAGGTACTGACCTCATTTTTGGTGAAACATCTGCTATCTATTTAAATATACTGTTCTTCGCTGGTGTTAAAGAGTCTGTAGAACCAGAAACAATCTACAATTAACTTCCAGACCTCGCTTCAAAAGCAAATAACTGCTTCTTAGTTCTCTGTTCCGTTTTTTAACAGGGAGCTATTATGCACAGCCAAAAGATCATTTCAGCTCACAGTTCTCTGTTCACAGCTCCAAACCAAGACTGATAAAATAGTAAATTAAAAATAATGAAAAATCAGCAAGGGTCTAACAAGATGGTAGATGACAATCGGCATCCTGATTAATATAGGCTTATCAGTGTCAGCATGATAGAGTTACAGAATTCAACACACTTGAAGGTGACATATTCCCCATTTCATCCTGTTACATGTGTGTTCTGACTGAAGGCAAAGCCTTGGTATATTATCTGCTGATGCTTTACTCGGAGTCTTTTTCCTTGACACCTTTTTGCCAGTGGAGTTCTGCTATTCCTTCCACACTGAGGAAGGTGCAAAGGGGCAGGTCCCAGGTCCACCTCAGACAGAAGAGGAATTGAACCTGTGAATGTGATGTTATTCTGAACCCCATACTAGCCATCTAAACTAATAGGACCCCATCACATAATGTCTTTCGAATTAGATGTTCAACAAAGGCCTTCCCTGCCTTCTCCGTTGGAAATATAGGACTCTAGAATGTTATTTTGAAGAAATTCAAGAGAGTTCTCCCTGGTCTCCTGACCAATATTTACCCCTCCACCCAACAGGGTATATGCAGGGGAACATACCACTGTAACGAACAGAACACTCTTCTCTGGCTGAATCAGGACAGACTGAAAAACCTTCCCCGTTGTGGTTTCAACTTGGTTGAATAAGTATTCCAAATAAATACAAGTTGTCACATCCCACCAGTATTTAAAAAAGGAAGCATTGTTTGGCCATTGCTGAAATCAGACTCTTTCTGCAGTGGAAAACCAAGAGAATGTTCTGACATAAAGACGTTTAGTTGCTTTATTAAAAAAAGGACACACATTACTTTCAACCAAACAAATTATAAATCCTGCATGGAGGAATTTCCATTCCTTAATTTAAAAAAATTTACCGAGAGATACCAGGAGGGGCTAGATAGAGAAAGATTTGAATATAGGATGCAGTGCAATGTTGAGTAAGAATAATTGAGAGAGGAAATTTTTGACAAGTACAAGAAAATTCATCTCATAAAAGTGCTACCACTGCAAAGAAAATACAGCATTTCAAAACATTAAGGCTGGACTGAAGTGCACAGGATAGTGTTCTGTCTGACCTAGCTTCCTTGCCACTGACATACTACCATTCTACTACTTAGCCAATATCAATCACACTCATTCTAGCCCATCCTACAACTTTACCATCCAGCTACAGCTGACGTCAGGAACGAAACAATGATAGACATTTGTGTAGGCAGACTTTAAGCACAAAAGGAGGCTATTCAGCCCATTATGCCTGTGCTTGCTTTTTGAAAGAGCTAGTCAACTAGTCACCCATTCCCCTTTGAACACTTATCTAATTTGCTTTGGAAATCTTACCTAAATCTGGTTCCACTGCCCTTTCAGGCAATGTACAACTCACTGTGTATATTTAAAGAAAAATCTTCTTGTTGGTGTTATTAGCAATGACCTTAAATTACAGCTTTGAACCTATGCTTCATAACTCTGTGCTCCATCTGTCACTGCAATGCAAGCTTCTTGTCTCTAACACACAATTTAAACTCCAACATCGAATGATTTACAAATGTACAAAGATACTAAACTGACAGGCACAAGAAAAAAGCTGGCTGGTCCATCAGTCATTTTCCACACCAGGGTGGTCCAGGTGTCAGAACCAACCCAATTTATTTGCCCTCCCACTATCTAATCTCCTGGAGTTATTATTTCCCCAGCTAGTAGGAGTACTGAAGTCAGCCTGTCAGTGAAGTGCTGTTAAAGAAGTTAGTTTGCTGCAGTGTGGCTTTCCAGTTGTTGCCTATTGCATTGTCTAAGCAGTGAGCTGAATGTTTTATAGCATGTCGGTGTAACAATGTCGGAACGCTACCTGAACACTGTGATGACTCAGGAAGGTGTCTCTGTCGGGCAGAATTTGCCGGCAATCAGTGTGATCAATGTCGCCCAGGATATCATTCATTCCCACAGTGTCAAGGTAAGATTTTTATTTATTAGTTATTGAGACATTCTGAATTTATACGCTGGGCTAAAATCTTGCATATTTGTGTGTCATACTACTTTGTTACCATAAAACCATAAGATGGAGTAGCAGAAGTAGGCCATTCAGCCCATTAATTCTGGCCCACCATTTGATGGTCAGCACATTGCCAGGCCAGCATGACAACAGTTCTATCACCATAATGCTCCATGCCACTCTATACCCCCTTTCATTTTCATGCTTCATCTATGACCCTTCTAGACCTACATCCCCCCAACTCCTCATTTCTCCATGTATTCTCCATGATTGCTCCGTACCTTCCATTGCCACTCACCCAGTATCCACCAAATGCAGACTCCAGGATATCTTTGAAATGGGCATTGTAAACAAATAAACCTTTACTAATCTCGTCTAACTCTAACACATCGTACTGAATAAAATCTCCTTAAGAATTTTTTCTAAAATAATTGAGTTTTCTCAATTGTCAAGCTAAGCACATCTAAGACATCTAATACTTAAATAACCTCCTAAAACTGTCAATCAAAATATCAATACAGCCCTGCACCAGTGAGTAATATAGGCCTTTAAAACTCAGCCGATCATTCATAACAGGCATAGCTGTTGTAGCAAACTATTTTGGCTCACAGGCAATGAAACTTATTGAATTGCAAAGACGGATGGCTACATTTTTAGAAACGGCAGATCGTCTGTCAGTTATAGCAGCCCAGGAACAGATGGGAACTGTTTTCTATCTCTTTAACTGACAGTTGCTGTATTGAATTATTTACTTTTAAAAGGATTGTAGGCATTTAAATCTTTTCAAATTATTACACTATAAAACCCAATCATTGCAGTAAAAACACATCTCACTTACAGTGCATCATCTAGGTATTGAAACTGAAGGAACAATTTGTTCTTTATATTTCCAAGCTGGTCAGTGAAAGAATTCCAGGAGCAGGTAACTGTTCCTTTTGGTTCCCCATGTGGTACTGGGTTTCTTCTGTTATTCATACCTCCTCTGAGACTGTGAACCACACCTATTGATTGAAGGGATCCACCTCCACTAAAATTGCAGATGGGCTTTAAACTGCCCATCCCACAATGGAGCTGGCTGGTGGGTAAGGGCATGCAATGCTGCACCTGTGTGGACTATCCATATCTTTATCCCATGTCAATAAAAATTTCCAGAAATGGGAATAAGGACAGAAATCCCGGAGTCAGTCCAACCTACTGTTTTTAATGAAGTATATAAGATGCTAAAGGGATTGACAAAGTAGACGCAGAAGGGAAGTTGCATCATGTGAGGCATTCCAGAACGAGAAGCCAAGGATTTGCAGATTTAAAACAGAGAAGAGGAGGAATTACTTCCCTTAAAGGGTCATGAACCTGGGGAATTCATTACCACAGAGTACAGGGATTGCCAGGTCACTGAATAAATTTAAGGAGGAGATAACATTTTTAATTAGTAATTGTTGAAGAGTTATGAAGAACAAGCAGGAAAGTGGCATTGAAGTCGAGATGAGATCTACCATGATCGTATTAAAAAGTGGAGAAGGCCTGAGGGGCTGAATTGCCTACTCTTCCTTTCAGTTCTTATGTTCTGATGATCTTCCAAGTCAATTAGACTCTGTGAAAATCTCGGACCTGATCCTTTTAGCTTCCAAGCGACTTGGTTGACCTTAGTGAAGGTCTTGTTTAATACGCTGATTCCTGTTTATCTACAGCCTGTTCCTGTGACCAAATGGGGTCAATAGATAACAACTGTGACTCTACTGGACGCTGTCGCTGTCATCCAAATTTCACAGGACCAACATGTTCCTACTGTGCACACGGTCACTATGGTTATCCCACTTGTTTGCGTAAGTACTCAACAAATACTTTATTCTCCTTAAAATAAAAGCAAAGAACTGCAGATGCTTGAAATCAGAAACAGAATCAGAAATTGCTGGAAAAAATCAGCAGGTCTTGCAGCATCTATGGAAAGAAAGCAGAATTAACTAAAGAAGGGTCACTGGAACTGAAACCTTGACTCTGCTTTCTCTCCACAGGTGCTGCCAGACCTGCTGACTTTTTCCAGCAATTTCTGATTTTATTCTGCTTGACATTTTCTTCTTTTCAAACATGACGTTTAAGAAGGATAAACTTTTACACAATGTATCAATAAATACAAATCTATAGAACAGGCAAAAGGGGAAAACCAATATTAACAAAGTTGATTTATTGCTCCATACTGCCAAAAGATACATGATTAAGAACCATGTCTTCAGATTCATAACTTGCATTCCTGTTTATTAGATTTGTTTTCACAATTTTACCTACTTATAGAATTGTTCAACCATTTGAAGCTTAGTTCACTGATAAACTGAACCTCCTTTCGAATCTAAATCTTTGCACTTTTCCATTTCTGCTCTTTTTTAAATTCATTTGTGAGATGTTGGCGTCACTGGCTGGCTCGCATTTATTGCTGTTGTGTATTCCTGGGCACTGTCCTAGGCTAACAATCACTCAGCTGCTTCATCAATGACATTTTGTCCACTTTTTAATCATAAATGGAGATGTTTGCAAGTGGTTATACTTCATTTCACTTCCTAAGAACTGAGGAATGGTCACCGGAACTGAAACATTAACTCTGTTTTTTCCTTCACAGATGCTGCCAGACGTGCTGAGCTTTTCCAGAAGCCTTGTTTTTGTTCCTGATTTACAGCATCCACAGTTCTTTCGGTTTTTATCTAAGTTTGGATGTTTGGTTTAGTTTTCTATCGCCTTACAAACATCCTTTGTTCTGTCCTTTTAAAAGCGTGTGGGTGCTCTGCAGATGGTTCTTATGGTGCTGAATGTGATCAGACCACTGGAAAATGTAACTGCCGACCACGAGTTACTGGACAGCGCTGTGATACTTGTGTTCAAGGAGCATACAATTTCCCTGCTTGTCAAGGTAGCATTGTTTATTATTGTTTATTATTGTAACATGCTGCCAGGCATCCTGAGAGTGATATCTTCTAAGTGTTGCAATAAAAGAATTTTGGTATAATTAATTTACACTGAAGTTGGGAAATTTTCAACATGTGCTACTAACAGCAGGTGAAAGATTGCTTAAGCCTCTATCTCATCCACTGATTCCCTTTTTCTCATATCTATAACTTGCAATGTGTCACTAATCATTACTGAATCATTTTGGCCAAATATGTCACCAGCAGTTTCTGAACTTTTTTGAGTACTTTATATGAAAAGGAAAACAATTACAGGGCAATGTGAAAAGACTGAGAGCAGTAGAATTAGTTGGTAACATAGGAAGCTCAGAGGAACAGAGAGATATTGGGGTTCCTGAAGGTGGCTTTTTGATTTGATTGATTTATTATTGTCACATGTACCAAGATACAGTGAAAAGTATTGTTTTGCGTGCTAATCAGACAAATCATACCTTACATAAGTACATCAGGGAATGCAGAATGTAGTGTTATGGCTACAGAGAAGGTGCAGAGAAAGATCAACTCTAATATATGAGAAGCCTGTTCATAAGGCTGATAACAGCGGGGAAGAAGCTGTTCTCAAATCTGTTAGTTCATGTTTTCAAACTTTTGAATCTTTTGCCCGATGGAAGAAGGTAGAAGAGAGTATAACTGGGGTGGGAGGAGTCTTTGATTGTTTGATTCCTAAGGCAGCAGGAAGTGTAGACAGAATCAATGGAAGAAAGGCTGATTTTTGTGATAGACCGGGCTAGGTTCACAACTCTCTGTAATTTCTTGCAGCCTTGGGCAGAGCAGTTGCCATAGCAAGCTGTGATGCATCTGGATAGGATGCTTTCTATGTTGCATCTATAAAAATTGTTGAATCATTGTGGATGCGCCAAATTTGCTTCGCCTCCTGAGGAAGTAGACACATTGGTCTTTGTTCTTGACTGTATTGTTGATGTGGATGAACCAAGATAGATCTTTGATGATATTTGCTCCTAGGAATGAGGTGGGGGGTATTTCATAGAAACATATAAAATTCTGATGGGACTGGATAGGCTAGATGCGGGAAGAATGGTCCTGATGTTGGGGAAGTCTCGAACTAGGGGTCATATTCTAAGAATAAGGGGTAAGCCATTCAGGACCGAGATAGAGAAGAACTTCTTCATTCAGGGACTTGTGGACCTGTGGAATTCTCTTCCACAAAAAGCTGTTGGGGCCAGTTCATTTGGTATATTCAAGAGGGAGCTGGATGTGGCCCTTGCGGCTAAAGGGATCAGGGAGTATGGAGAAAGGGCGGGAATGGGATATTGAGATTTCATGATCAGCCATGATCATATTGAGTTGTGGTACAGGCTCGAAGGGCTGAATGGCCTACTCCTGCACCTATTTTCTATGTTGCTATGAACTTGAAGCTCTCAAACCCTTCCACCTTATCACCATTGATACAGACAGGAGTGTCCTCCAGTCCTCATCCTGAAGTCGATGACTAGCTCCTTCATTTTTCTGACATTGAGGGAGAGATTATTGTCTTTACACCATACCACTAAGCTGTCCATCACTTTCCTGTACGCTGTCCCATCATTTGAGATCTGACCCATGACTAGTGGTGTTATCAGCAAATTTGTAATTGCAGTTAAAGCTGAATTTGGCCACACAGTTGTGAGTATATAAGGATTATAGCAAGTGGCTGAGTATACAATCTTGCAGGGCACCAGTGTTGAAGATTATTGTTGAGGAGGTGTGGCAGAAGATTGTAAAATCATTGCTTTTTGTAAGGGAGATTGTGTGTGACTAATTTTTTAGCATTTCAATGAAGTCTCAACCAGAGTGGATAGAGGGGAACTGGTAAATGTGTGGTATTTGGACTTCCAGGAGACATTTGATAAGGTACATCACAAAAGGATAAGTCATAACAACTCATGAGATAGTATATTAGTATGGATAGAGAATTGGCTAATGGGCAAGAAACAGTGATAGGGATAAGGGGTTCTTTCTCAGGTGCCAACCCGTGTCCAGTGGGGCTCCACAGGGATCAGTGCTGGGACCGCAACTGATTACAATATATATTAATGACTTGGAAGAAGGAATCAAATCAACTGTAACCAAATTTACAGATGCCATAAAAATTTATGAAAAGGTAGATTGTGAGAGGGTTATAACAACTCACAGAGAGATATTGATAGGTTAAGTTAGTGAGTAAAAAGTTAGCAAATGGAGTAGAATGTGGGAAACTGTGAAGTTGTTCATTTTGGAAGGAAGAAAAAAAGAACAGAGCATTATTTAAATGGAGAAAGACTGCAGCAACACAAAGGGACTTGGGGATACTTGTATATGAAATACAGAAAGCCAGCACATGACAGGAAGGCAAACCAAATTTTGGCTCTGATTTCAAGTGGGTTGAGTATAAGAGGTTAATGAGGTGCTGGTGAGATCATATCTGGAGTGCTGTGAGCAGTTTTGGTACCCTATTCATGGAATAATATCATTACGTTGGAGGCAGCTCACAACAATGATCCTTGGTAGGGAGCGATTGTCTTCTGAGCAAAGGCCAAATAGTTTGGGACTCCATACACTGGGGTTTAGAAGAATGAGAGGTGATCTCATGGATACTTTTTGGACTGGTAAGGGGTTTTACAAGGTAAATGCTGAGAGGATGTATCCCCTCATGGGAGAGTCCAGGACCAGAGGGCATAGTCTCAGAATAAAAGGAGGCCAATTTAAGACTGAGATGAGAAGGAATTTCTTCTCTCCAAGGGCTAAAAGTCTTTGGAACTCTTTGTCACAGAGAGTTGTGGGACTGTGTGTATTCAAAGCTGAGACAGATTCTTGATCAGTTAGGGAATCAAGGGTTATACAGAAAATGCAGGAAAGTGGACATAAGAAATGCCAGATCAGCCATGATCATATTGAATGGTGCAGCAGGCTAATGGGGCTGAATGGCTTATTCCTATTCTTATTTCTTATGGTTTTAAAGTCTTATTGCATATAAATAATAGAAGTGTGGTAAAAGGAGGAATAGAACTGATTAGTGAGAAAAAAGGTGTTTTAGACATAGAGTCTGGAGGCATGGCTGAGATATTAAATTAATATTTTTCATCTGTTTTTACCCCATGGCTTTGTGAAGGGGAAATCATGACTGACTTTTAAAATTCTTTGAGGAGGTAAAAGGCAGGATAGATAAGGAGGAACCAGTAAATAAAACATATTTGGACTCCAAAAAGACATTCGATATATACTGTACATAAAGTTATGCAATAAGATTAAGGAGAAAGCAGCAAATGTAATATATTTTGGTTTTCAGAATACGTTTGCTAAGGTGCTATGCGTTAGGCTACTTAGTAAGACAAGAGCTTATGGTGCAGCAGATAGTATATCAGCATGGATAGAGGCGTGGCTAAATAATAGAAGACAGCAAGTTGGGATAAAGGGGGCTTTTTCAGGATGGCAACCTGTATCTAGTGGTGTGCCACAAAGATGAGTGCTTGGCTGCAATTAATTACAATGTACATTAATTGGATGATGGAAGTGAATGTACTTTTGGCAAGTTTTCCGATGACACAAAAATATGTGGGAAGGCAAATGGTGAGTATGACAATAAGGAGTCTACAGAGGGACATAGACAGGTTAAATGAGTAGCAGAAATTTGGCAGAAGGCATATTTTGTGGAAAAATGTGATGTTGTTCACTTTTGTAGGGAAAATAGAGTAGCTGAATGTTTAAATGGGGAGAGACGGCAGGAACCTACAGAACAGAAGGATTAGGGTATTCTTGTGCATAACTATCTCAAACAAGAGAGAATCTAACCTTACATTCAACGGCATCACCATCACTGAATCCTCCACTATTAACATCCTGGAGCTTGACAAGAAACTGAGCTCAACTAACCATATAAATATAGTGGTTACAAGAGCAGGTCAGAGACTAGGAACCTTGCAGTGAGTATCTCTTCTCCTGATTCCCCTGAGCTGGTCCACTATCTACAAGGCACAAGCCAGGAATGTGATTTTTTAAAAAGAATTCATTCATGAGAAATGACCAGTATTTATTGCCCATCCCTAGTTGCCTTTGAGAGGGTGGTGGTGAGCTGCCCATCTTGAACAGCAGCAGTCCATGTTCTGTAGATAGATCCACAATGCCCTTAGGGAGGGAATTCCAACGTTTCGACCCAGCGACGGTGTAGGAATGGCGATATATTTCCAAGTCAGGATGGTGAGTGGCTTAGAGAAGAACTTGCAGGTGGTGGTGTTCCCATGGCTCTCTGCCCATGTCCTTTTGGACGGAAATGGTTCTGGGTTTGGAAGGTGCTGTCTGAGGAGCCTTGGTGAATTTCTGCAGCGCATCTTGTACATGGTGCACACTGCTGCTATTGAGCATCGGTGGTGGAGGGAGTTGATGCTCGTGGATGTAGTGCCAATCAAATGGGCTGCTTTGTCCTGGTTGGTGTCAATTTTCTTCAAGCTTCTGTGTACCATAATTGTTTCAGGGATGAGATTTTCAGGAATGATTTTTTCTGGAGAAGGGTCTAGGCCCGAAACGTCAGCCTTCCTGCTCCTCTGATGCTGCTTGGCCTGCTGTGTTCATCCAGCTCTACACCTTGTTATCTCAGATTCTCCAGCATCTGCAGTTCCTGCTATCTCAGGGATGAGAAACCTCAGTTATGAGGATAATTTGGAGAGGTTGGGACTGTTGTCCTTGGAGAAAAGCAGGTAAAGGGGAAATCTGACAGAAGTTTTCAAATTCATAATAGGACTGGATGGAGTAGATGGGAGAAGCTATTCCTGCTCATAAAGGTATGAAAAACATGAGGGCACAGATTTAAAGTGATTTGCAGAAGAATCAAATATGATGTGAGAAAAAACTTTTTGCATACTATGAGTGTTTCATGTCTGAACTGTACTGCCTGGGAGTGTGGTGAGGAAAGCTTCAATTAAGGCATTCAAGAGGGCTTTGGATGATTATTTAAATCGAAACAATATGTTTGGGTTTGGGGATAGGGCAGGAGAATGACACTGAGGCATGGAGTCACTTGGAGAGCTGTTGCAGCTATGACATGCTGAAAGGCCCCCTTCTTCATTGTAATACTTTGGAGATTCTGTATTTTTTGAGTATCCATTATTAAGATCAAAACACTATTGAGACTGAGGGGTTAATTGTAAAATTTAAATTAATTGTAAAATTAAAGTGCATGGAACTGGATGTAGTATAATGACGTGGATAAAGTGCTGGTTGGCAGACAGAAAACAGAGAATAGGAATAGGTGGAACTTTTTACAAGTGGCTGTCAGTGACTAGTAGGGTCTCAAGGGGATCAGTGCTTGGGGAATCCCAGCTCATGGGAGAAGGCACCGAACAAATCACAAGATACATTAATGATTTTGATGAGGAAACTACATGCCATAACTCCAAGTTTTCAGGCAACAGAAAGCTGGGTGAGAGAGTCAACTGTGAATCGGCTGCAGAGATGCTTCAACCTGATTTAGACAAGTTGAGTGAGTAGGAAAATGCAACACAGAGGTAATATAATGTGGATAAATGTGAGGTCATCCACTCTGGCAGCAAAAACAGGAAAACAGATTCTTATCCCAATGGCGTTAGGTTAGGAAAGGGGGAAGTACAACGAGACCTAGATGTCCTCGTAAACTAGTCGCCAAAGGTACACATGCAGGTGAGACAGGAGGTGAATTAGGCAAATGGTACATTGGCCTTCATAGCAAGAGGATTCAAGTACAGAAGCAGGGATTTCTTGCAGCAATTGTACACGGGTGTGGTGAGACCACACCTGTGTGCAGTTTTGGTTTCGTTTTCTGAGGAACAATGTTCTGGCTATGGAGGGAGCGCAGTGAACGTTTACCAAGCTGATTCCTAGAATGGCAGGACTGATGTATGAAGAGAGAATGGATCAGTTAGGACTATATTCACTGGAGTTTAGGAGAATGAAGGAGAATGTCATAAAAACAGATAAAATTCTAACAGACTCGACAGGGTAAACACAGAAGGGATATTCCTGATGACTGGGCAGTGCAGAACCAGGAATCGCAGTCAAAAGATATGAAGTAAATCATTTCGGACTGAGATGAAGAGAAAGTGAGTGAGGAATCAGTGAAATTCCCTGCCACAGATAGCGCTTGAGGCCAAAACATTGAATGTTTTCAAGGAGTTAAGATATCGTTCTTAGGCCTAAAAGCATCAAAGATATGAGTCAGTAACATCACTATCATCACGAACGTTACCCCCATCACTAACATCACTTCCATCACTAACATTACCCCCATCAGTAACATCACCCCCATCACTAACATCATCCCCATCACTAACATCACCCCATCACTAACATCACTAACATCATCCCCATCACTAACATCATCCCCATCACTAACATCACCCCATCACTAACATCACTAACATCACCCCCATCACTAACATCACTAACATCACCCCCATCAGTGACATCAACCCCATCAGTGACATCACCCCCATCACTAACATCACCCCTGTCACTAACATCACCCCCATCACTGACATCACCCCCATCACTAACATCACCCCTGTCACTAACATCACCCCCATCACTGACATCACCCCCATCACTAACATCACCCCCGTCATT